CAACATTCAGCGCAATGAACGTTGAGAGTTGAGAAGAAGAAGCGAGTTTAGAATCGTTGGCCTCATTGTATTGCGTGACACTGCGATTAGGAGTGATGATGAACTCAGGGCAAGAAAACCAACACAAAAAAAAAAGAAATGAACAACAAACAATTTTTGCGAAACTCACAAATTGTGCTCGGGAAACCATCGCCATTGATCTTTCTTCATCGCCCCGATGGTACTCGATCGAACGATGCTCTCAACAATTGTCTCATCCTCAACCATTGCTGCGGCTTTTCCGCCGAGGAAACGGCCAATTTTGATGACCGCTGATCTCAGATCGGCACACATATCCTCGTACTTCAAGAAGAGCACATTGTCGTCGCTCAAGTGCGGTAACCAGCTCAACAAATGCTCGAAGTAGTTGCCGAATGCGATGTTGTCACTCATGAACAGTTTGAAGAAATCAGCGAAATTGCCGAATTCAAAGTCGTAGATTTTGAAATTTCGGTTGTGGAAGAAATAACTGAAAATGCGAACATTCATTCGGAGTTTCGGCGAAATATCTGTCATTCAAGTTTTCTAATACTGAACATTGTTCACAGAATGCGATACGTCATCTGCACATCAGTTCTATTACATTTTTTGTCATCCATCTACTCTGTTTTTCCGTTCCATGTGTTCATAGACAAACAATAACATCTGCGCCATAAAAACAACGCATTTGAGTCAGCATTTAACAATAGCAGACGAAAATGTTTTCATAATAGAATTTAGCAAAGCAACAGTTGCGTTGTTAGCTCGTTAAAATTTGTTGGCAAATAAGCAATGATCGACACTTCAAAACGCTCGCTCTTCATAATTAAGTGCTCGAAACTGAATTGGCATTTTAAACTGTGCTGAAGAAAGGAAGGAAGTGCTATTGTTTGACACAAACTAGACGACTGTAATCATCGAATTAAAATGATTGATCCATTCGCGGTGATATTTTCTTCACGTTTCGGCTATCGCTAAATGTACTGTTGCTCAGTGCAAAATGGTGTGATGTCGGAAAGTGCGTTTGTGAACTTATTGCAGATGTTGACAAAAACCTTTGATTGTACTCGATTAACGTACAAAATGAGGGCATTATTCACCGCTCAGTACAGTGAACAACTGCCAACGCTTCCAACTTTTCCAGCAAATACGTAAGCATTCAGCACTACGTGCAATTAAGCATTCTACGAACTGAACGATCAAAATTCTTCGAGTGATGTTCAAAAGCAAACCTGGTCAAGCAGTCTTTCGGATTTCGTACCGCATAGATGTATTTTGCTTTGCTATTCTTCGGCAAATTGTGCCATGCAAAGTGGGTCTTCAGCAACCGTCGACCCTCCAAATTGTCCGCAAACTTGGCGCCCATTCGTTCGATCATCGGACTGGTGACGCATAATTCTGAAAGAGCATCTAAAAATAATTTCCACTAGTGAGTGCCAGTCACTTCACTTAAATGTTGAGCAGACGGGCACATGAAATTTACCAATAATTCCAAAAAAATGAACCTATCATTCGCCTCGACATTTTTTTTGCTCGTTTGACGGATGACAGAAGAACGAGGCGACATTTTTCATTCGCTAATTCAATTCAATTCATGTGCCCCGTTACTCAACGAGACAGCAGACGGAATTTTTTTGCGAATAATTTCACTCTTCGCTGTGTTATGTGCACATTTTAATTAGTCGCTGGTCTCGTGAACTTCAAAAGTACATCGCTGAGATATATTTTTCTAGATTCACTTTTTGGATGGTTGAGTTTGCTATTTGGAGTGAACAAATTCCAATAAACACCTTTACCGTGGCCGACATCAGGCCCATAATCATCGCTTAATAGTTGTGAGCAAATATGCTGAATCCAGGTGGTACCACACTTGGGATATGTGCACACGAAAACGTCACTGTCGCGCACCTTCAACGCTTTTGCACCTCTGTAACAAGCGATCAGATTATCTTTTGCGTCATTCTTCAGTCAGTTCATCGCTGAATCATCACTTATTTCGAAAATCTTTTCTCGTCTCATACTGAAATCGCTCGCACCTCTTTTCTATATCAATCATTCCAACCCATTTTAATATGATCATGTGACTACGGTAATCATCACGTTTCTAATCTCGTTTTCACCAGAAGACTGTCTCTATTTTGCACGTCTAGAGTGTCACGTGGTCGTCAAATATCAGGTTCTGTTCAACGGAAATGACCAACAATTGGGAGCGTTTCTAAACCAATGGTTTGATTTGTTGAATAATAAAATAAACAAGCAAAGAGTTATTACCTTACGAAAGCAGGTTTGAATATTGGTGGCCAGACCTCACCGTCGATCCGTGACTGTTTCGGGAAGCCAGGATCTTGGAAGACGAACGCCTCTTCGTTCACTTCCGGTGAGCATGGTAAGGGCGAATGCCGATCGGTGCACGGCAGTTCACTGTCGTTTAAGAGCAATTTCCGACTGCGTATATTCAGTGGAGCCATCAAAGGGATTGCCAATGTTACAATGAATGTGTTGCAGCAGTTTATCACGAAGTGCAACAATAATGATAATGACTCAGCAGAGATGATTCGATCAAAGAAATGTGTTCAGTTGTTTTACCACACAGATATCCAAAATATATATCCGATAGCGCAATGATAGTAAACAGTAATTGTGAGTAGTGAGTAGTGATAATTCAGAACAGAACTGATATGATTACATCAAAGCACTAAATACCATCATTAAATACACTTACCAACTCATTCATTCCACAGGTACTTTAACGCTTGCCCCGCCCCTCCACCTGTTCAAATTATCATCATCATCACATCACATCATTTCGTATTATCACTACTCGTCTCATCGTCATCATCACCAAATCACATCATCACCACATCCATCATCGTCTTCTCAATCTCCTTCTCGCCAACCATGTGCTCATTCCGATCACGCACTCTTGTTTCGTGTTTCTCTTCGTTCTATTGCTTTTCTGTGGTATTATTCATTCATTCGTATGTGTACATTTATTATAACGTTTATGACCGACTATTGCTGGTGCCAAATTAATTCGTGGAACCTTTTACAGAGGAGGAGAAGACGGACAAGAAGGAATGACGAAGTTTGCTTATGAAGAGACGTTTTGATGATGAGCTTCGAAAGGAAGATGAGCGACAGAAAAAGCTTTCGCTCAAGGGGAACGTGGTGATTCACTTGGGAGCATGCTTAACGATAAGTGATAAAGACAAGAGAAGATGAGAAAAAGTGATAAACGATAAGAGATGATGAAGGAACAAACAAGCGAATGACGAGGGGTGAACTGTCGAACGACTGTCAGGGCATAACAAAACAAAAAAAAAGAAGAGAACAAGACGACGGACAATTGAAGACGAAGAGTAATTGCGTGAAATGTTGAAGAAGTTCAAAAGATGTTGAATGTGGATGAATTTATGAGATGTATCGCACGCAGTTTGGATGAAAGATGTTTCCAAATGTTTTTATGTGTCTGTTGTTAGATGCTACTTCATTTACTGAATAAAAACACATTCGCAAGATCAAACAATTAAATTATCACTCAATCGAAACTGAAAAGACAACAACAACAACAATACACTCTCTGTAATCTGCAACTGCAATTTATCATTTTGTTACATGTGATTGGTTAAGAAACAAGCGAAATTACAATTCTGACAAAACGAATGCGATTCCTTCCGTTGAAAGTCTGCCTTACTGAAAAATTCTCATCGAAAAAATTGAAAATCTTATTGAGAAATTATTTTTGTTGGAAAAATTGAAAATCTATTTTTATTACTGAAAGCGCAAAAAATGTCTTCCGTACAGATTGAGCACAAATCGTTTCGTCAAATGCACTAATTATCACATTCTCAGTCGTGTTCCCATGACACCCTGCGCTATTATTAGAAACCTAGAGACGTTTATACAGGTATGTATGTATGTATGTATGTGTATTAACACCTGACCATATTGGCATCTCACCAATGTACTCTCTTTTGTGATTGGTATTAGATTGGCGTAGATGGTTTATCACGCCAGTGCGATCTGCTCGCACATACGAATCAATTCCAGAAGAACAGCGATAGTTGGTTATGGTTTGCGGAAAAAATCGGACTGCGGTGACGATTGCGAGTAGATGTTTTTTAGCCGTACGTTCATGCGAACGTCAATCATTCGCATTTGTCAGAAACGTCTAAATGAATCACTCATAGATAGATAGTCACATGGCGATCGCATCGCGAGTCTCTTTCTGTGCAAATGCTGGTGTAGTATCGGCCTTTCAATAACGAAAATCGAGCGATAATTCATCGCAAATTTAGCGACGATATTCAAATTCTGCCATCATCACATCAACACACCGTTCGACAATAGTTATGTATGTTTATCTCTAGTTGCTACAATTTCATCATCTTGAATCATCCTGATGAAAACGCCTAATTTACATTTCATCATCATCATCATCAGTGATTCGCCCAACAATCTCTCTCTCTATCATCTACCTTTCTCTGTCTGTCCATTCATTAATTCAATGATTCCTTTATCCATTCAATCATTCCATTCCATTCACTTGATTCATTCAACTCGCCTCTAAAATCGCCCTAACAATCAACATTTTCGTCATTTCCGTTTGCTCTCATTCCCATACAGATTGTAAAACTAAGCGCGCGCGAAACATTCCTACTGTAAAGCAGCAACCCAACCAACAGCCACTCACAAATGCCATAATTAAGTCATTAAAAAATATCAATCAGACTCAAAAGGTAGCCTTTTTTGCAAATTAGCATATATTCTTCTGATGCAACTAAAATATTTCATCATATTATATCTGTACACATCCAACAACCCAGCTAGATATATATTAACTGACAGAAGCAATTCGATCCTGCAAGGTCTGCATCAAGTATTACACGAACTCAGCTACTACTTCGGAATTCAGTATAAACGACTGTCAGATTATCAGGCGCAGCCGTAGGGAGGATGATCGTCTGACCGATAAGTGATATCACCTCTGCAGGCTATCCGATCCGTCTGCCTTTCGGCCAATTGAAAAAGTTCTACATCGGTCACTCTCAACTGTAGAGGTATCGAAGCTTCGGCACAATTGGATTCATTGTTGATCGTTCATCAAACGGAAATCCGATCGTATCGCCAAAAAAGGCATTAATGTTATTGCTTAGTGTTTACGTTCCCATCAGTGGTTCTTGTTCAAAAAGCGATTACGCATACTAATGCTCAAGTTATGACTTCCTGCACAACGACGACACAAAGCTCACAGAGACGATGAAAATAATTCACCACTTACATAACATTATCAGTTTCAATTTTCAAAATATCTTCTGTTGATACACACAAATTCTGTCCACAGCAACAAAACAATTCAATTCTTATCAATTTCTCACAATTAGAATTCGCTGAATTTTAGAATTTTCAGTGTCGTATGGCGAAATCTGCAAGGAACTTACAAGGATTTTCTCCATAGTGTTATCATAAGTTTCAGTGCTAACCTGAAAAAATTTGAGTAAATGTTCACTAGATGATAATTTCAGATAAATTTCTGTGTTAAAACAATTTCATTCGCCAAGAATATCGACGTACTTTTTCGCATTGTTTGTTTATGACTTCTGAATTCGTCTCGAAACGCTCACAAATAAGTGAATGCTTGTTGCCAATGTGTCCTTTTGCGTCTGTGGAATTCACATCAAAGAGAGTCCATGAACGTTCGCGAGTATCTGCTGTCTACATCGCAGGTACTTTGAGAGCAAGCAAAGGTCAAACAGTCGCCGAATTAGCAGTAATTCTCTTAATTGAAAGCGCAATCATGTCAGAAAAACGAATTTCATTGCTATGTAAAAATGGTGATTTGTTGAAGATCGTTGAATTGTCACCTTTTCGCAGTAATCTGTCAATTTCAATTCATAGTGCATTCATTAATCAACTTCTTTTTCATCTGTTATGCGACAAAAAGTCGAATTTCCAAAAGTAAACACATCTCTATGGGGTTGACCTATGCGAACAATAATCTCAAAAGCACACGAGGAGCGATGCAAATTGACAAATTTTCAGTTTCTTTTTCATTACATAATAGTTTTCTTCACATAATTGCCTGATAACTCGTTTATTTTTATGATAAAAATGCGACAGAATGTTACACTAAAGTCGCGTCGAAGTTGTCCGTCCCATCGTTGGCACACACATACACAAGTCGTCACCTTTCTGGAGCCTGTTTCATACAGAGGATTGACCTTTTTGGATGAGTAAAAAGTTTTCTTTCAAACATATCGATATTAGAGTACAAAATTGGTTGAACTTTTCAATTAAGCAGCAGTATCATTTAAAGTGACACTAATTGCATTCTGATATTTGCATTGCAACGTGCAACTTCTACCAAAGAACGATCACAGTTATTCAGCAGAATGATTTAATTGATTGTCGTCTTATCAAGTCTCGTTGTTTTATCATTTCAATGGTAACTTGTCAAGGTTGTTCGGTTTGATTCTCCTGAAATGGTCTTTTTTGATCAGATATGATTTCACTGAAATGTGNTCTCGTTGTAAAGGGTAAGCATTCGAAGTGATCAACGTTTCTACACTCTTTACAGAGAGCTGAAGAGCTGGGAGCAGTTCTCTTTTTTTTTGCTACATTTTTGCGGGTAAAGAAGGTTTGTTTTTTGTTTTGACCACAGTACAGAGTAAAATCAGAAGTTTTTTTTTGATTTTTCGCTCTTTATTTTTCTGGTGGCATGATATTGATAATTATGGCGATTGTTTACCTTCAATGGAGGTTTAAATGGTAGCTAGGTATGGAATCGCACATTTGCTTTGACAGCTATTTACGTCAGCGATAAGGGAAGATACGTGCCGTGATTGACGTTTAGATTAGAGCAAAGCATGCCGGTACACCATTGGTGGCTATCAGCCGAATTAACACATTCTTAGATAACATTTAGCAGACCGTTTTCTTTTTGCAAGGCACACACGGATCCATTCAATCATGCACACATCGCTCTAGCTGAACACATTGGTTGCGGACGAGTAAAAAGTGGTGTATTCTGTGCAGAGATTGTTTATTTTCATACTGATATGATAATACCTGGGCAATTTTTGAAACTGAAACGTTTCTCAGTGGATGTTTCAAGCCTTGAAACGGCTACGGTTGGACGGAATACCGTAGATGTGTGTGTGTGGTATTGGTTGAATAGTAACGATTAAAAATGTGAGTGATTAAGACAGCTAAGAATATACATTCATTATTCAT